GCCCCCTTCTGGCGCGATGAATAGATCTATGATAGAGGCAGGGTATTGAACGGTGACCAAAGGCAAAATTGGGGCTGATAAGAGGAAACATTGCGTTTAATGGTTTCCAGATGATGAGAACAATGTACAGTAAGGGCACAAAGTGTGAGATTCATAGAAAAGTTTTCCTAAGAATATTTCCAATCCTTTTCTCACACAAGAGAAAATGGGTTAGGGGGCGTTGGGTATAACTTTATGGAACAAAGGGGGCGGTGGATTGAAAAAGTTTGAGAATCACTGGTATAGACTATGTCACTAGTAATAAATTATCAGTAAAGGTCAGTATAAGTATAAAGAACTTTTTAAATGAAACAAATGCAAGATTACAGCATAACAGCAGTGGCAACAAACCTTTAAGCTTAGTTCACATTGAGCACAATTTTCTGTCAAAAGCAAAAAAAAAAGAGTGAATAATGTATCAGACGTGACATCGCTTTTGGTGAATTTTACCATTTTATGAATTGCTTTGAATGGAACTGTCAAACTTTTTTGCTAGAAAAAAATTTTGCCACCAATTATATTCCTGCACGTTGTCATGTGTTCTTGTTGTTTTCAAGATGGCTACAGAAATTTTCTTGCAAATAGAGTAGATGTTGTAATTCACTGTTTTTTTAATATTCCTTTTACTCAGCATTATTTTCTTTTTGATCTATCTTTTTCTCTCAATAAATAAATGAATGTGGTTAACAACAGAATATTGGAAGCAGCCATTTTGGTTTTTGAGATGAGGTTTTATCTTGCTTGCAAATAATTGTCTGCTTAAAATTCACAATTGGTTTTTGCTTTCGATTGTATGGATCAATTTTGCTAAGTGAATAAAAATTGCTTTTCACTTTTCTCATTCACTTTTGCTATTTGCTTAGCATGAACTAATCTTTACAGAATATAGGGTACCAATTTCATTTTTCATTATCTCTACTTTGTTATTTTTTCAATAAGATTTTATCATTATTTCATTAATTTTTTACTTTTTAAAATTTTTTTACATATTTAATCATTATGGTTCAGAGTTTTTCTATTATTGTTTCATTCAAATGTAATTCATTCAATTTGGCTGTACTACTAAGCTGTTGTGTCTCTTGTATTTCAGTTACCTTCACTTTCCCACTTCTCTTTATTCAAATTCACATCTATTGGCCATAAATTTTTACACTAACTATACAGCTTTTAAACTGATGATAATTGTGAAAAGGAACTTCTTCCTGGCTAAAGCATTTTTAACATAAACTCTGGAAAATTGATACTGTGATACCAAAATAGCCAGATATTAATGAAAAAATATTGTAAGTTACATTGTCTTTATACATAACATATTGCTTATTATGAAGTACAGTACATGTCTTCTTAATGCTAAGAATGGGTCAGTAATGAGTCAATTACTGTTTCATTAAAAAAGATCTATATGAAGAGAAAGTAAGCATTTTGAACCACATATAATTATCAAAGATTCATACATGGTTCTGAAACTGTAGATTGTCAACTTCGGACCTAACTATATCAGTTGCAGATTCATTACACATAAAATACAGGCGTATCTTTTTCTTTTTAAATAATTTTTGTTTTTTTCTAATATCAAATTTAATTTGTATATTAACTTTAAAAAATCATGTCTTAATTTTTTTCTAAAAACTAAAATTTGATTAAAATTTTAGGAATCAGCTGTTAGCACAATAACTGAAACAACTGTGACAGAATCAGTTAATCCAGAAACAGAACAAGGAAGCACAGTAACAGAACAAAATAAAGTAGCAAATCCACCTGAATGTGATAACTGCCCAGTTACTGTTAATGAAGATAGTACAATTGTTTCAACAGCTACTACTACTACTGTTACTACTACTACTACAGTAGCTAATGTGAAAACTGTTACTATTGGTAAGTTACCTTTAATTTTGTATTAATAAGTGATAAATTCAGTTATAATTATTTTTTTAAATCTTATCAATTCATTTATAAGAATTAAAAAAAATACAATTACTTGATTTTGACGTAATGAAAAGTTACTCAAATTATTAAATAAATACAGTATTATGGTTTGGTTGATGAGGTANCAAATAATAATTGATAATTATATACAGCAAATCCTTACTTAATATTGTCAATAGATTCTTGAAAACTAATATTAAGTGAATTGATGTGTAATAAAACCAATATTATCATAGGTTAATTGATACAGACAAAATATAATTTGGTTAATATTCTAATTGAATTGTGTTTTCCACCTTTAGCATTTAAATCTCACCTTGTAGAATCAATTTTCCTGTTTATGAAGAAAATTCAACAACAATAATTGTAAATGATTACAAATGTACGAGGGCTATTTTTTAAATAAGGTCCATTTGTGAATGAGAGTGAGAATGATGCGCGATTGCAGCAGTGTGCATGAGCATCTGTTTTCAGCATGCTTTGTGCATGTTTAAATGCTATTTGCAGCCGTATCATCTGTCTGTGTGCTGAACTGTAGAAGTTTATAATGTTGAAGAAAATTGAGTCGCCCACCGACTGTAAGATACGATCTGTTATACGATTTCAGCACGAAAGAGCGTGGTAACTGTCTTTTGGGACAGGAAAGTGACTTTGTTAGTAGATTTTATGTCAGGAGGCACAACAATCAATTCTGATGCTTATTGTGACCTTGAGAAAACTCCACTGTGCCATACAAGACAAGCAGTGTGGCTTAATGTCTTCCGGCAGCAGGCAGCAGATTTCTTTGAAGTCAGAATTAAAAAAAATACAATTACTTGATTTTGACGTAATGAAAAGTTACTCAAATTATTAAATAAATACAGTATTATGGTTTGGTTGATGAGGTATTCAATGAAACCTTTTAAAAAATTAGTCTGAAAAGGGGAAGAATAATATGACCGGTAAAAGGGGAAATATGACCACAAAAAGTAGTAAAATCATTTATTTTAATTACACACAATTATTTTGCTTTCTTGTTATTTCAATTTCATTTTAATTTATTATTTTTTTAAGCATAAGTCTTATGTATCTTATCTTTGTTGTCATTAATAGCATAAGTTAATCATTCTTTTCTGTATTAATTCAATGGATTAAATAAAGGAAAAATTGATTTTAAGAAATAAGAATATGGATGAAAGATAATTAAATGAGAATGTAATGTACCACTTATAGGTTTATTCAGATTCACTAAAAACATTGCATTTAAAAAGTGCAATTGTAATGAAAGGAAATGATTAAATATCATATATTATTAAACATTATAAATATATTCATACATTATTTTGTGATGACCTGATGAGATAATGTCACAAGAAAGGTTTTATCACAAATAAATTTTTTGGATGCCTTTAAAATTGAAGCATTTAGTTAATGGTATTAATTAGTAAGAAATTAAATAACTGGTTTTGAAAATATTTTTGTCAAAGAAAGTCAAATAGAATATTTTTCATTTTAGTAAAAATTTCCAATCAAGAGAAGGAGAAGGAAGAAGAGTTTGTAGAGCAAGAAGAAGAATCAAAAGAAGAAAAAGATGCAGAAAAAGAATGTGAGTCTGAAAAAGATGATGATGCATCAAAGAAAGATAGTGGAATGTGTGTCATTCGTACTTATAGCAGACCTAAAATTGAGGAAGGTAAAAGAAATTTTTCTATTTGTGTCTAACAAAATAAAATTTTAATCATAAATGGTAAAATATGATTGTAAGTAATTTTTTTTAATGTAAGTATATTATAGTTTAAAAGTGGTGTTTCTAAAGTCTGAAAGAGAAAGTCATTATGTACAATAATAATAATAATAGTAATTTTCTTAGATTTGTATTAGTACTATTAAGAATAAGTAAAAAATTAAGGTTTATTAGTATTATTAAAATTAAGCCAAAATTTTAAGAGAGGGGGAAAAAATTAGATAAACTTCCACAAGTATAGCTCATTATATTATACATGACAACTATAAATTGTGGAAATATAAAATAATTTTGAATTATAGTAGAACCTCGAAAACTTGGCCTAATGTGGACCGAAGGGTGGCCAAGTTTGTGAAAATGCCAGATTATCGGGAATGGGGTTAAAAAAGGATAAGTATGTGTGTTTCCTCAGAAGATACTGTACTGTACTTGTATGTATTGTTTGCTGGAGAATACAACAGAGAATAAACTGCCCAAAACCCTTAAACAAAGGAAAAGTACATACTTTATGAAGGCATAGAGCCTTTACTACATGAAAATGAAAATTAATGAATACACTGTGTACAGTAATTTACCTGATAAGACAGACCTCAGAAAAATACTTTATGAGAGCTTTTATACTTTTATAAAGCTGTCTATAATGAAAATTAATTAACTAAGGATTTTTTTGCCCTGCCAGGGTGTGGCCGAGTTATCCGGAGTGCCGGGTTATCGAGAGCCGAGTTTTCGAGGTTCTACTGTATTTTAATTCATGGAAAAAATGAATTACATAAAATATGCAGTTTATAATATGCAGATATTGGCTATATGTAACATTATATATAGCCAGCTGTTATAGCTGAATTAGTTAAATTTAAATATATATCTATCAGACATCTAAAACTATTATACAATTTTATATTATAATAGATATTTAATATTAGGTTAAAACTGTAACTGTAAATATGAGTAAAGAATAATCTCTTATAAAATCAATAAATATTGGGATTATAATTAAAAACCTTTTTTAAAATATTAAAAAAATTATTCATACAACAGTTTGCTTTCAAAAATCGTACTCCTAGAACCCATTTCCGGTGTGACAAAAAAAAAAGCAAAAGAAAAAGTTCACCACAAACGTTTTCAAACTGCTGCAAGTTCTTCCTCAGGTGAAAAGGGAGTTAGTTACTGATGGGACAGAGCGATCGGTTAAGGGTATATGTGAAAAAATAAATGAAAGTGTAATATGAGTCGCACATGCACACCCGTAGGGTAACCAGATCTTAGCAATTACAGTTCAGAGTCCATCAACGCCCGCCAAGCTGTAGACAAAACTAACTCATCTTTAAAATTGATATATGAATTATTAAGGGTCGATTAATTATTTTTCTTTATTTTTATAATCTATATTAATTATTAATAATATTAATAAAGTTTGAGTTGCATTGTTAATTAATAGTAGAAATTAAAAATGTGTTAAAATTTTTAATTTCGGTTGTATAGATTTAAATATAATTACCATTTAAAATTTATTTTCATTTTACTTTTCTTAATTAATTCTGAAAGGAGTTAATTGAATTTGTTAAGGAAATTTATTTGTTATATTTAAAATTGAATTCAGTTTTAAAAAATTGAAAGCATTTATATTAACTATATTTTGATTGGAGTATTTTAATTTCACATTAGAAGATATAGGTAATGTAATATTAAGTGATTATTTCTCTTTTTTTATAGGCAATAATTCAAAAACTGGAATTGTTACTAGATCCAAGACTGGTTCTCTTCAACCAAGATCATTCAATATAGATTCTTATGCCCTTAGAGGATTAAGTGGACGAAAAAATGAAGAAAGTGATTCTGTATTAGTTATTAATAAGGATGGTGAAATAACTAAAGTAACAAAACCCAAACTAGGAGCATTACCAATAACTTCAGTCTATTTTAAATTAGGAATGGAAAGTAATTATCGTAATTATTCAAATCAATATACAACGAATTCACTTGCACTTAATAAGCACCAGCATGCTGAAGATCGAGATAAGAGACGTCATTTATCTCATAAATTTAGTTTGACAACAGCAAGTGAATTCAAATGGCATGGTACTACTCACGGAAATCGATCCCTTACTGTGACAACACTTCGACAAACTACATTACAATTAGAGAATAGTGTTCCGTCACCATTTTTGCATCCAAACTGGGCTATACATCGCACCAATTGGACAAAGGCAGTTAACATGTGTAGTTCAGCAAAAGATTTTGCACTTGCTTTAAGTATTTTGGAAGCTGCTTTAAAACCAGTATTATTTAATAGTATATGGAGTGAATCCTTAGGTAAAAATTTAACTTTTTTATTTAATAGAAAGTTATTTTATATAAACAACATAATTTATTATTAGTAGAAATTTATTAATAAATGAATAGTTTTAACGATTTAGATCTATAATAAACAAATCAAATTGTTTTTAACATACATAATAAATTTAACAGTCTCTATAAAGAATTTTGGTATCTGTGATCTTAGTTTTTATTTATGAGCTGATCTTTGTTTGATTGGTATTCTTCAAATATATATTGTATAAGAAATAGCTAATATATCTAAAAATGAATCATTTCATATGGTATTTATTTATTTATTGAACTATCAAAAGCATTTTTAAAAATTAAATGTATTATTATTATAAGAATAAGTAAAATTTTTTGTAAAAAAATTGTTTTAATTTATCTGAAAAAATAGCTGAAAAGTAATTACATTTTTGTTAATTTAATGATTTATCATAAAGCTAAGTCAAAAAATATCTTTAAATTTATATATGAGAATTAGTTATTTTATTTCTTCAAAATTAAAAAAATAAATTTAAATTTTTAAATCTATATTTTTTAGGAAGAATTCTTTTAAAAATAAATAAGTGTATATTTGAGTGACATTATTGTGTAATTTAATTGCCACCAAAAATTATGCAAAAATGTTTGCAGTAATTGATTTGTTGAAAATTGAATTTGCATTAACTCAATTTAAAAAATTCAGGTTATATATTCGAAGAGTGTATATTTAAATATATAATATTTTTATGTTATGTAAATAAATTCTTGATTATCTGTAGTATAGTATCTAGTATAGTTCAGTATCATTTATAATATGCTTCTAAATTAATGATGATTTAAACATTAATTTTAAAAAAAAAATTTCCTTTTTATTCTATAAATATTGCTGATGTTTTTATTATTATTAATTCAAGATTTTCTAATGTTTACAATTGTTAAAATTATATTAATCTGGAATTAATATAGCTTGTTTTTACTTTTCAAAAATAAAAGTTTAAAAGTATTATGTAAGTTATTTATATATTAGGTTTGTTATAATTGTTAGGTATTTTAATAAAATGTAAGTATGATGATATTCAGACTTTTATTTAGTGATACAATTTATTGTTTTTTGTAGGACATACTCGTTTTCAGCGTACTACTTTAGCTGAAAGAGAAGAACGTAAAAAACAAGAAAAACGTGAGAAACGAGAAATGATGGAAGAGGATATGGATCGTACAATGTGGGTGAGATATACATTGGGATTGAAACATCAGGTATATATAATTTACATAAATTATTTTATATTTAAAAAATGATTTATTTTTGATCTTTATAAATGATTATTTATCTTATCTTGCCAGAGTGAATTTATGACAGAGATAAAAATAAATGTAAAAGCTATCTGAAATTATTTCAAGTTAATTTTCTTATATAAAAAAAAGTCAATTTACTGTAAATTCTGTTGTTATGAAATGGATTTCTGAATACAATTACAGATTAGTAGAACCTCAATTATCCAAATTTTCAATTATCCGGATTGTTCAAAATAAACAAAAATTTTTTGAATTTGCTGATTTGCACTTGGCAAATTGCGATACTGTTTATGTACGTGATGGAACGCATAGGCCTAACTTTGTTTGTTCCAACAACGTCTTACCCAGCACGATGGTCGTAAACTTTTTAATACATTTTTCATTGTAATAAAAATATAACTTGACATACATATTTATAAATAATTTATATTGAAATTACATCATTTCTATGGCCAAGGGTGGCGTAAGGCATGGGCGACATGGGGCACCACCTATGGCCTCGCAGTCTGAGGGTGCCTCGTGTCTTGAAGGTTTATGCATTACTTAAAAGCCGTGAATGCAACGAAAAAATTTTACTTGTCATAAAACGATAAATAGTTTGCATTTTTATGAATAAAAATTTGGCAGTTTCAACTGCTATTTATTTTATAAAATCCGTCTTCTTGTGCCACACCAGATGGCCTTAAAACAATAGGCAGTCTGTTAGTGCTGGTCAGTAGTAGTCCAAATTCAATACGAATGTTTTCAAAAATTTGATCACAATTTAAATACAGTATTTATTTTTATTACTACCGATATGTCATTGAAAAGAAAACATGTTGTATTATTATTAAAGATAAATTGGATATAATCAATGGTTTGAAATGCAGTGAGTCTGGATATTCATTATCTAATAAATATGGTGTTGGAACATCAACGATCTCATATATAAAAAAACAAAGGAAAAAATTATGAAGTTAAACAATAATTGAATTCCTTAATAAAGATAATTTAATATTGAAGCTACAGTATATGTAAATCTAGACAAATAAAAATTATTCATACTGTATGTACTGTACATGTCTTTCACTGTCAATTATTTTTTCGATTATACGGATTTTTCCTTATCTGGACTATTTTCAACCCCCAATTAGTCCAGATAATCGAGGTTCTACTGTATATAAAATTAATATTAAAAATTTCACAGTATCAGGTTATCTGTAAGCAAGAGATAAATCTGAATTTTTAATTAAAAAGTATTAAGGGTCCCGGAGAGAGATGGTATATGTGAAATGGTAGAGAATGAGATTCTGCCTTGCTTTGCTGATTTTATTGCTCTATACACTAGATATCTGGACTATTTTCAACCCCCAATTAGTCCAGATAATCGAGGTTCTACTGTATATAAAATTAATATTAAAAATTTCACAATATCAGGTTATCTGTAAGCAAGAGATAAATCTGAATTTTTAATTAAAAAGTATTAAGGGTCCCGGAGAGAGATGGTATATGTGAAATGGTAGAGAATGAGATTCTGCCTTGCTTTGCTGATTTTATTGCTCTATACACTAGATATGTTGATGATATTCTTATTATGTGGCAAAGCAAACCAAATCTAGAAGGTTTTTTCCAAAGCTTCAATCATAACATCTATGGTTTCTTCCTACAAATCAAGCAAGAAAGCTATGAACAAGTACACTTCCTTGATATACTGAGCATCTTAAGAAATGGGTGGCTCTTCATGAAGTTTACCATAAAATTTGTATTGTCTATTCTTCATATCCAATCAGTCACATCTTTGAAAGAGATCCTTTGAAGAATGTTTGAGAGAGAGTGAAACAAATCTGTAGGAGCCAGGTTTGGGTAGAACTGTGGAGTTGGGTTGGTTTCTCATTTCATGTCCTGAATCACTGTTTTGGTAATGCTTCCTATGTTTGACCTAGCATGGAGCAGCAGTGCATAGTATGTCAGTGATGTGGACATGAATTGTTGCATTTCGCATGAGTCTTCCACCAAACAGTAGAGTTGATCACAGTGCTGTGCAACAGTGATGGTTTTGTTTTCTTGGAAGCAATTTGTGTTGGATAATGTCCTCTACATCCCACTATATGAAGGACATTGTCTTGCATGGATGATGATCAGTCTCAGGAAAAAGTATTGCCTACCTCTGAGGGTTCAGCTACTTGTTGTTTCTTCACATGAACATGTAAGCACCATTTCTTATTGTCTGTGACAATGCAGAAGATTGCCATTGATCATAAACACAGCAACATTGGCAAAGCAAAGAGCTATAAATTGCAGCAGGTTGAGTTTTGTTAGCATTAGAGAGACTGTGTGGTGTGTATGTTTCCAGCAATAACATGTACCAGTACATATAACAAGAACATGATGCTATGAAATGATGTATTTTGGTGCCTCAACACCAACAATTCTACCAAGAAAAAAAGGAGAAATGACATAGCATAAACATCAACTTGATATTTACAATATCAAATAAGCAAAGGTGTGTTGTTGATAATGGTGATAAAAAAGAAAATAGTTAATTTATTGAAAAAGGACAATCAGAAAACTAAAGTTGCTGAAAATGATTTTTAAATAAAGAATCTTCAAATACCGGATTAGTATAAAAATATCACTTACTAAAACCAATAACCGGTATTAAATAATCGTAAAATGTACTGCGAACGTTTTCGGTTCTTTCCCTAGGACCTTTCTCAAGCAGCGTTTCGTCTTAATAATTTTTCGAATATCGCTATTTACGGGTCTTCGTTCATAGTTATTCTAAAGACGAAACGCTGCTTGAGAAAGGTCCTAGGGAAAAAACCGAAAACGTTTGCAGTACATTTTACGATTATTTAATACCGGTTATTGGTTTTAGTAAGTGATATTTTTAATGATTTTTAATTATTGTAGTACTGTAATATATTATAACAGTGATATAACTTTCTTTTCTTATGGATAAGGTGATATTTTTTTAAATCCAATTATCTGAATTTATGGTTATTTGAAGTTTGTCATGAATTAGTTCAGATTAATGAAATTTCACTGCACTTGATAATTATGTAAAGTAGCAATGAAAATGGAAGCAGACTTCTGTAAAGATGTAAATAGAATATTTTATTTATTGTATAATCTGTTTACTGAATTGCAAACATTGTTATTAGTTATCTAATGTTATCAGAATTATTAATAGCATGTCCCAAAAGATACCCAAGTTAAAATATACTTATAAAACTTAACTATAACCAATTATAGTCAAGTTTTGTAAGTGTATTTTGATTCTGATTACAATAATGGATTATTATCTTCAGATAAATAGGCATTTTTAAGCTGTTTTTTTCCATGCTATCTACATCATTAACATGGGCTCATAATTTGCTTATAATAATAATTGTCATAATTAATAAATCTTTAAATTATACATTTTTAAAATTATGTTAACATTTCCTTCTAGTAACCAGAGTAAAAGAAAAAATTAGAATTTCTATCAATTGTAGTCTTTCTTACTTATTTCACTTAATGTTGGTAGTCAGTTGTTATTTAGTTTATCATCATCATAGCAATGGCAAGACTCAAATTGATTATGATAGGTGGAGTCTACTGTTTTTGTTATTATTTTAAGTATTTTAATTACTTTCCATTCTTAATATTGTTCTATTTTGACACATACATTAAAAAAAATTTAGTTATTTTCATTTTTCTGTTTTATGTATTATTTTATTATAATTACTCTTAATTATTAAAGTTATAAATTGAAATAATTTTAATATAATCTTATTTATATTAATAAGCTTATTTTATTATTAGGTTTGGAAACAAAAAGGAGAAGAGTATCGTATCAGTGGACAAGGAGGTTGGTTTTGGATTAGTAAAACAAAAGTCATTCGTAAAGATCCTTGTCATAAATTAGGATTAAGAGGTGGACCACAAAAAGTTGTTATCTCCTTGAAAGGTCTTACAAAAATAATACCTGTAGAAGATATTTTAAAAGATATTCCAAAAGATATTCCTTTGTCAAATAATCAGCAAACAACTGAATGTGATGTAAAAAGTTCAGTGCCAAAGACTTTAGAGAATGAAATAGAACCGAAAAAAGAAATTGAAAGTACAATGGAGTTGAATGACAATGTAGATGATAAAAAAATTGATTTGGAAAATGAAAAAAATGAAATGAATGAGGAAAAAATTGAAATTAAAAATGAACCAATGAGTATTGATGATAAAGAATTAATAAAACAAGACACTGTTGATATTCCAGTAGAATCTGATAAAGATGAAAAAATACTTACTCCTGATAAAATTAATACACTTACTATATCTCAAAAAGTCAATTTGGAATTAATTGATGTTTCAGAAGCTCTTTCTTCATCTACTCGTTTGCTTTATCCAAAAATTGCCAAAACAGGAAAGATTGATAATTTTCTTGAAAGAAGAATAAAATTAAAAGAATTAGAAGCAAATGAAAATAGTAAGTTAGAACAAAATACTAAAATTCAAAGTAATGTAATAAAAATTCAAGTAAAACCAGATCTTTCAGCCAATCCTTTAGGAAATGTTAAACTAATTTTGAAAAAAGAAATACCAAATAATGCTAATATAAAATTAGTATGTGCAAATGTAGATGAAGCAAAAAAATTAGAAAATGGTATTTTAAGTCCTGATGATGAAGATAGTAGTGAAAAAACATCTAATAAATCTGTAAAATATTTAAGTTGTTGTTATTCACCTTTATGTAGATCAAAACCTCAAGTAGACTCAGAAGATTTTCAATTTCAGGCATGTTATTCAACAGTTTGTAGGACTAAAAGTAAATTATCAACATCTGCAATTAAAAATGATAAAATTATTGAACATGAAAAACCAGCTTCTGTAATCAAACAAAGTATATTAAATAGTATTCATTGTAAAAACATTTTATTAAAGACAGCCTTACAAAATAAGATAAATGCTGTTTTGAATGGTAAAGATCCTAAAATAGTAACTACTCCCCCATCGTTGGGACCAATTACATCATTACATGATAAAAATGCATTATTAGGAGCAAGTGATTCAACAGATATATTAGATAAAGAGTGTATCAATGCTGATAATAGTGACAATCTAACTGTGACCAATCATACAAATTTACAAGATAAATTAATAGAAAGTTTTTTGTCAAATCCTTTAGATATCTCAGAAACAAATGATGAAATAAATGTTGATCCTGTCACTATTACAGATAAAAGACAAAATGCAGAATCTAATTTGGCATTAGATAATGCATTTTCCACAGAATCAAAAATTGCCAAAATTAAAACTGTCAAATCTGATACAAGTGGAAAAATTTATTTAGCAAAAATCACCAAAGTAGTCAAAAAACCAAAAAAGATGATTAAAGGTACATTACCACCATGTAATACCTTTTCAAGTGGCAGTAAAGGAAAAAGTATTTTAATTTTGCCTAGACATGAACTAAGAAAACTAGCAAGACGGTCTGGCATAAAAGAAGTAGTTGGTTTTAATTATAATGCAAAATTGAATCAGTACATTTGGCCTTATGGTACATGTCCCCGTCCTTTGTTTAAAACCTGTTGGAAGCACAGAAACCAAACATTAACATCTATTCATTCTGCTGCTCTGCAGTTGAGAGTTTTATGGGCGTGTTTGCGTTGGGATGATATGCAAGCAAAACCACCACCAAGTGGAACTAACACAGTTACTACAGAAACTGAAGTACAGACAACTGAATTACTCAAACGTCGAGATACAGGGCAATTTGGTCTGAGATCTGAATATTTAATAAGAAGAATAACAGTACCAATTGATCTTCCTACGAAACCAAGAGGTAAAATATTTATCATTACAGCAAATTAACTCTTTAAATTATAATTTGATATTTATAATAATAATAATAATAATAATCACAACTTATTGGTCTTCTCTTTGGTCCAATGCTGTTGCACACAATGCTGATGCAGGCTGGATCGAGGAGGAGAACAGAAACTTGCATAACATACCAACTATGCCCTGTGCTGAAATAAANGCACACCAACAGAAGAAGAACTCACAACTTATTGGTCTTCTCTTTGGTCCAATGCTGTTGCACACAATGCTGATGCAGGCTGGATCGAGGAGGAGAACAGAAACTTGCATAACATACCAACTATGCCCTGTGCTGAAATAAACATATGTGACATTCGCTACGCTGTTAACAGAACACGCACCTGGTGTAGACAACATTCGCAATTTCTGGTACAAAAAGTTTACATCACTGCACCAGGAACTAGCTAAACATCTAACGCAAATCATCATCAATCCACAAGACATGCCAAAATTTCTTACTCGGGGCATCACCTACATGAAACCTAAAAACAACAAAACCACAAATCCCTCACAATACAGACCAATTACATGTCTTCCAACACTCTACAAATTATTGACATCCTGTATCACAAACAAAATATGCAAACATGTTTAAGAACACGACATTCTTACAGAACAACAAAAAGGTTGCTGTATAAATCACAGGGGATGCAAAGAACAGTTACTCATAGATTTAGTCATTCTACAGAAAGCACACAAACAACACAGAAACATACACATGGCATATATAGACTACAGAAAAGCATTTGACAGTGTTCGACACAGTTGGTTGCTACATATTCTACACATGTACAAAATATATCCATCACTCATTGCATTCTTCGAAAACACTATGCAGCATTGGAAAACAACACTACATCTCATGGTTAGTAACATTTCAATATAAACAAACAAAATATTCATTAGGCAAGGAATTTTTCAAGGAGATTCCCTGAGTCCTCTCTGGTTCAGCCTAGCCCTGAACCCATTATCCAACATGTTAAACAACACGCAATATGGCTACAATATCAGACATGAAAAAACAACACAGTTTACACTGTCACATCTCATGTACATGGATGACATAAAACTTTATGCATCCACACAGAAACAACTTCTTCAACTCCTACAAATCACACACTCATACACTAAGGACATACAAATGGAGTTTGGCTTAGACAAATGCAAAAAACTTCACATAGAAAAAGGAATCCTGAAGAAAGAAGATTTTGCACTTGGAAATGGAGACGTTATTGAATCCATGGAAGAGGGCGAGTTCTACAAGTACTTAGGATTCCAACAGGCCAAACTAACAGAACATACACAAATAAAGCAACGATTAATTAAAGAATACCAAAGTAGGTTAAACGCTATACTTAGAACACAGTTAAATGCAAAACACACAGTTAAAGCAATAAACACATATGTCATCCCAGTACTCACATACTCTTTTGGAGTTATACATTGGACTCACACAGATCTCGAGCAACTCCAAAGGAAAACAAGAACAACACTTACTAAGCATAAACAACATCATCCTAAATCCGCTACAGAAAGATTAATCCTTCCACGTAAAGAAGGCGGACGTGGCCTGATTGACATAGTTAACCTTCATTACAAACAAATACAGTCACTGCAAGAGTTTTTCTGTAGGAAACAAGAAACATCACAATTACATAAAGCAGTAACTCTAGCAGACTCAAATAGCACACCATTAAACTTACACTCACATCACACAGACATGACACAACACATAAAAAGCATAGACACCATCAAGCAATCATGGGCTCGAAAGGCACTCCACGGCAGGCATCCTTATAACCTGGCCCAGGATTTTGTTGACAAAACTGCATCAAACAGCTGGTTAGATCGGGGATGCCTCTTTGGGGAGATGGAAGGATTCATAATTGCCATACAGGATCAGGTCATAAATACTAAAAACTACAGAAAACACATACTGAAAGATACAACACTCGCAAATGACACATGCAGAAAATGTCACATCATGCCAGAAACTATACAACACATTACATCTGGGTGCAAGCTCTTGGCACAGACAGATTACTTACATAGACACAATCAAGTTGCAAATATAATACACCAAGAGCTTGCAAAGAAACACAAATTGGTAGACATCCACGAACCATACTACAAGTATATTCCACAGACAATATTGGAAAACAACACGCACAAAATGTACTACGACAAAGCCATAATCACAGATAAAACAATTTACCACAACAGACCAGACATCACACTCATTGACAAACACAAGAAAATCACATACATTATAGACATAGCCATTCCAAACACTCACAATGTACAAAACACGTGCACTGAAAAAATTAGCAAGTACATAGAACTTGCCCAGGAAATAAGGTATCTGTGGAGGATGGATAGGGTGCTTATTGTACCTGTTGTTCTCTCCTGTACAGGTGTGATACCACACACACTACACAAAAGCCTGGGAACATTACAATTGAGTAGAAATACATACATCACACTACAGAAAGCCACTATATTGAATACATGCCACATTGTTAGGAAATTCCTGAATACAGACACTGACACACTTATTTAATTTTAGTTTTGTTTTGGTTGCTATGTCTTGACTCTGGTCTGGCATAGTACACAGCCATTGGTGTGAACTGAGTATAACCACTCTATCCACATTAGAGAAAAATCTTTAATATCTTATTGGTGTTTGTTCTGGTGGAGATTTTTTTAGGTTTTTTTTTTAAAGAGACCAAGATCTTTCTAATGGTCAGCATTGTGATATGCATGGTGGTTTCTTGTCTCTAGGTACAAGATCAACTCCATGCTGTTCCAGCCAATTTATACTATGGATTTTGCATAATGTATTGTTGCCAAATCTGGACAAAACAAAGTATGGTCAATATGATTTCTTAAAAAAGGAAGATGTTTTTCTTAAGCATTCATTTATATAAATTTCAGCACTATTATTTCCTTTTGTCAAAGACAATGAACTTTTTAATGTACACTGGCAAATTGCTTTCCATACCAGATATTTGAGCCAAACTTTTCAATACTAATTGATGTTTGAGTTTCTGGAAGAACTTCTCTTTCAAATGCTGGAAGTGTTGAGAAGTTAGTCTTTTATGTATGTTGATTATCTAAAACGTAACAATTATTCTTTTTGCCAATTAAAGAAGACAGTTTTTGAGCTCTAGTTTTAATTACAGTAGATCCCCCCCTTATAACATGGTAGATATGTTTCGTGTTTTATGAATTCCATGTTGTATGAGTCACTTAAATACATGAGCCAATCACAGCCCGGAATGTATGCAGTTTAGGGACTATGGCTATTTGAAAGGTTTTCTTTCATAAAATTAATCGATTCTAGACTAATTTGACTCAACATTTCCAAAACACATATAATTTTTTTGGGAATAATGCATATAAACTATGCTATAAACAAAAAATTGTAGGATTACTTACCGAGTGTGCACCATTCGACGATGCCATTGCTTAAGCTTGTTTTCGTTGCAGAGTGGCTCATTGAACGGCGGGCCCGTGTTTCCTGATAAGTTATTTTTCTGCAAAAAATTTGCTGAATTTTGGAGACATCATTTTTATAAATATAATTTTTATGGCCGTTAAATAATAAATGGTTTTTATTAAGTCTGCTGCACGTTTAAACTCAACGGTTTGTGCAATATTCGCTATTGGTCTAGATTCGACCAATTTGTGACACGAGTCGGCGATGATGTTTTACTGTATTATACGAGTCTCTTTCAGCGTGTTATACGAATACAATCGCAATTTTTTCGCCGTTTTATATCAATCTGTATTATATGAACCCATATTATAGGGGGTCTACTGTTCCTTCTTTTGTTTTTTAGTCACTTTAGTTGTTTTTTAAATGATCTCATACTTGCAGGCTGTTTAGCCCTTTTAACCCTTTTAATTGTTTGATTAGTTTCACATTTCTTTGCAACTACTCTTATTGACATACTGTGATTTTTAGAAGTGACTTTGTTTATCTTCTGGTCAAGTCGTGAGCTGCAAGCACTATATTTTCCACCAGAACCTGGCTTTTGAGAAATGGTCAATTTCTTACAATACTGATTTTTCACTTTATCCACCATACTTCAGGAAATTTTAGCTCTTTTGCTATGAAATGACTTTGTTTTTTTTAGATTTTTCAGTCATTTGTCAACAATTGCTTTTTAACGATCTATTTTATTCATTGTTTAAAGCAATAGCACAGTTAAGTTACTTTAATAAAAATGATAACAGAATTCTTAATCTAATTATTTGAAATTGTTTCTATGGCAACAAACAGAATTATAAATAAAAACAAAAAAGTTAGAAATATGTAAAATTCAAAAGATTTTATTATTACAGTTCCTATGTCGTTAATGTAAAGTTATCAGATACTTTTAGAAAAAGAAACAGTTTATTCTTATAATAATTAATTTTATATTGTGAAATAGATTCTAATTAGAAATTTAAGTGTTAAAGGTATTCAAAAGTTTAATATATCTTAGATAAAAGAATATGATTAAAAAACAAAACAAAAAGAAATAACATATATAAATTGAAAAATTAATCTCAAAACTTGACAGTTCAAAAATTCAATAACATTTGACATTTGTTTGAATTATTGAGAATGTATTCATGTAGTATCTTATATATATATATATAAAATACTACATACATACATATGTTTGTATATAATATGTATATTTATGTGTATATGGTATATTTGTGTGTGCGCATGCATTAATATATAATTAATACATATGTATACATAATACATTGATTTTTATTTTTTACTTAGAAAAACTTGCACCTCAAAGAAGTGGCTTGAGAGAGAGACGTAGACCTGAATCTCCACAGAGCAAAGGTCCAACAGTAGCAGAAGTTTGGGTTCCAGAAGAAGATTTGGAACTTTGGGAAATAAAACAATTTGGAGAAAGGTAAAATGTGTTTTGATACTTATAATAATTTGTTTTTAGAGATATACATTAATAAACATTGTCACAATGCTGGGCTGCAATTTTTAATCATATTTTTAAATTTATTTAATTTAAAATATATGCTTTCTACCTGAAATCAGTAGTCTTGTCCCTGTACAGTACATCATACTTTTCCTGTTGCAATAGAGTTGTGCCAGTTATCTAACTCATTTGTTTCAGGGAAAAATTTTTGAATTGAAATAACATGACTTCCAGTGCATACCAGAAGCAAAGTTTGTATACAGTTAATTGAGGCCTCCTTGCCCCTAAGCTTTCTATGTATCTGGTTCTGACTTTCATCTATCTAGCTTTGTTCTCAAGATTAAGGAAGGCCAAACAGATAGACAACAGTGGGAATTTATAGGTCTACAGTTTTCCAAATTGCAACCCAATAATGTTAAATATTTAAGTAGTTTTAAATAATAATGTGCTGAAATCAAGGAATAGCTAGAGAGGTATACTCAAAATATTTTTGTTGACAAAAATTTAAAAAAAATTTACTTACAAATAATAATTGTATTAATATAGGATGATTTAATTATATAAAATAGTAAATGTGTATATTTCACCAGAAATAATTAACATTATTTAAGAAGTTTTCATATATAAATAACTTCTAAAAGAATATGATACATTTTTCTGTTTAAAAATATTATAGAAAACAATAAAAATGCTATACAGTAGAGCCTTGATTATCCGACCTAATTGGGGACTGGGGTTGGTCAGATAATTGAAAGGGCAGATAACCGAAAAGTATGAAAAAATCTATTATTATTGTAGTATATTATTATATCCCATGTAATTAGTATATCGCTATTAACCTACTTCATGTTGAATTTTCATTGATGTTAAGCCTAACAAAAATTTTTTAAAATAATAATCATCGCTATTGTATTGTTAAAAATTAGAAAGTTAAGCCTCGTTTAAATACTGGCTCCCTTTCATGGTCGAGCCAGTGTTGCCAGCTAAAACATGTAAAAATAATATTAAAGTAGCCAAGACATAGCCAAATATTGTAGCGCCACATCACTAGCGGACATTTTAAATTTGCCGACTAGGA